TGTATTAATTAGTACTGGATCTTAGCCGCGGAAAGTTTGGAATCAGCGACGCCCGGGTTACCGACCCGACTTTATGACTGTTTAGTTAATCCACTGGTTGCATTACTTAGTCTTGGAGAAAAAATGTTTTACTGAGTATATTTTCTAGAGGGCATTGTTCATTTGTAATGTGAACTATCATTTTCGCTTTGTATAAAAGTAATCGAAAGGTAAATATTTACCTTGCCTTTTATGGTTATTACTTACATAATAAGCTATATTCATGAGTTTTTTCCGGTTTCCGGTTAGTTTGTATTTATGTGTGGCACACGTGTGTTCATTTATATAGGCGTGTTTATTTTAGATCTCTCAACTTTCACTATCCGTAAACTGAAATAATCATGGGTAATTTCTTGAGATAACTTGATTTGATGGATAGTTTTGTTGTAATGGTATTTAATATTTATGTGAAGTAATGTAGAAGCACTGAGAACAGACGCAGAGACAACAGCGGATATGCTCACACCACTATTGCAGAAGGTCTGGAACGAAGGGAAGGTACCTGGCGACTGGAAGAAAGGTTATCTTGTCAAACTGTCGAAGAAGGGCGACCTAAATGTTTGCAAAAACTGGCGCGGAATCACGATCCTGTCCACCGCAAGCAAAATATTAAGCCGCATCATCCTGGAGAGACTAAAGGATGCACTGGATTCAAAGCTACGACCGGAACAGGCTGGCTGGCTGGATTCAGGAAGTACAAGTCATGTGCGGACCAAATTGCAACGCTACGCATCATCATAGAATAGAGTATCGATGGCAGTCAACCCTCTACCTCAACTTCATCGACTTTGAGAAGGCCTTTGACAGTATCGACCGACAAGCAATTTGGCAGTTGCTTCAACACAACGGGATACCACAAACCTTCATCAATCTCATTCAACAACTATATGAAGACGCCACATGCCAAGTGATCCACAATGGAAAGCTCAGTGACGTAATTGAAGTGAAGACAAGAGTAAGGTAAGGCTGGCGCCTACTATCACCCATGATCTTCCTGATTGTAAGGGACTGGATCATGCAGCAAACAGTGGGGAGCGAGAAGAGGGGGATACGCTGGACCGGGGAAAAGAACCTAGAAGATTTGGATTTCGCTGATGGTGATTTATGTCTAATATCTTGCCTTACAAACTCGAAGATCTACAGGCAAACACTATGAAGTTCACAGAAGAGGCGAGGCAGTGAAGACGGGACTTCGAGTGAAAGTAGAGGAGACAGAGGTGATGAAGATACCCAACCAACAACAGTATCGACAACAAGCACCAATCACCATTAATGCGAGAAGCCTAAATGAAGTAGTCTCTTTCACCTACCTAGGCAGAAAAGCATCGTTTCAAATACAGGTGACACAGATGGGGATGTCAAGGTCAGGATTGGAAAAGAAAGATAGGCTTTCATTAATTTGAAAATCAGCGTGAAGATCTACTGCACTCAGCACAAGTCATGAACATGATCCGGATTTTGAACACCAATTCAGTCAAGTCAGTGCTTCTATGTGATGGTTCAGAGACTTGGCGCGTTACGAAAGGCACTTCCAACAAATTACAGATATTCATCAACAGCTGTCACCTACGCTGGCTTGTTACTGAAGATCAGATGGCCAGAATAATAAGGATAAGCAAGAAGGAACTGCGGGAACGAACCAACCAAGAAGCTACCACCCAAGAAATATGCAGAAGGAAGTGAAGATGGATTGGATATACACTGAGAAGGCCTACTGGGAACATTACATGCTAGGCCATCGAGTGGAGCCTAAATAGGAAACAATGAGTTGGGTGTCCCAGCTGAGGTGACATGGAAGAGATGGTGTGAGGAAAATAATAATATGGTGGCCTTTAAAGTTGCTCTAAATTTTATCTTTGCAACAATTCTATCGAGTCTATCCTTTTGACCCCGCTAACGACCGTATAAATAACCAATTAGGTTTCCTTATTTCTACTGAAAAGGCAAATTTTTATCAAAGAAGTGTAACTGACTAATTTGAGTTGTTTGTAGGTCAGCCTTTAGAGTTTCATAACGTCATTGATTGAGTCACCTTTCGTGACTGACTTTAAAGGCGATTTTAAACGCCCCCTTGGCAAATACTGTAATAACAATGAGGTTTCGCTATTCCGGCTAGAAAAGTGGGTTTTTATAAAATATAAAGGCCTAATTGCTTATATGAACAGCAGTAAGGGTGGGCCTAAAGTCACTTGACTTTAAAGACCACCATGCCAACTAATAAACTGACCAAGTTCCTCTATTTTATGAAAAGACATTATTCTTAGTGAATCGAAGAGGTCTAATTGGTTATTTCAGTGGTTGCTAGGATAACCATGAGAGTTACTAGCGTTTTGCTTCTAGTATGATAAATTCCATTATTCCAGTAACAACGTGTGTCGAAGGGATTCTAAATGGAAAATTTTTATTTTGTATGTGATTGGTTTACTCTTCTTATTTACTTCCTACAGCTGGAACCACTGACCACCTCTTCTCATTGATCAATTAACATTCAGCCAGACTTTAAGGCTAGTATGACTGAGAAATTAGCCTTATAAGTAGAGATAGTCATCACAATTCATTATCAATTAGCTAATACAGTGTAACAGATGATTGACTAGTTTAACTAATAAAGTATATGGAAGCAATTCTTCTATGGTGTCATAGAATTGTGAAAGTTTAAAGGTGCTCTGCTTAACTAAAAGTATTGATACTAGGTAATTATTAAAGTTAAAATGAAAATCCGAGCCAAGAAAGGATTCGAACCAAAAGACCTTTGAGTTTCCGACGCAATGCTCTATCAACTGATTCTAGACGTAGAACTACTCAATCTTCGGTATATACGAAACCGATCTCGGGATCCCAAAGTTTTTAAATGATACTCAACTTTTTAACTCTGTTTTCCAGTAACTACACATTGAACTGAGATTTTGCTACGTCTCTCAGTTTCTATAATCCTTAGGTAGCTAGTTAGGGTAATTAAAGTTACCCTTGATCCACTGTGATCACTTTATTTAAGCATAGAGCTTATGAAACACATATTCTATAGTTTGCACCCATTATCTCTCATTCGGATAAGTTGATCTATATTTTGTACAGTGCTCACCCTATCCCATCCTGTAGTGTGATTATAGGTTACTGCGTACAGAGCGATGTTTTTCTAAATTGTTTATCTCAGTAGGATCTATCATTATATGTTTCCCTAAGTACTTCACTCTTCTAACTGATTCCAATTGGCTACTTTGACTTATCTACTTGACCTCACAATCATTAAATAGTATTTAATAGATAAGGTTATTCTGGCTCTATTGAATTTTCTAACCTACGGATTTTCTCTCTGAGTAAGTTTGTCGCTTTGAATGCCACCCTAATCGCAGCATGGTTCAGAATTCTACGTAAAATTTCCAGTGTGTCTTCTTCACATAGTAACACTTATTACTATTATTATTTTTCCCTTGGGTTCCTAGTGGAACATAGGGCTTCAGTAGCACGCCTCCATTGCACTCTCTTCTCTACAGTCTTTCGAACCTAGCTCCACGACTGCCCACAAGTTTTCATTTCTTCCTCACATGATCTCCTCCATGTCACCCTCGCCTAGGACGCCCAACTCGTCGTTTCCCCCTTTGGATTCTACTTGACGGCCTGGTGAGTGATGTCCCCAATCGGCGTTCTCAGTGTATGCCCAATCCACCTCCACTTTCTTCTACTGCATATTTGTTGTGTGGTAGGTTATTGGTTGGTTCGTTCCTAGAGTTCCATGTTGTGTTTATTCTTTGTGACCCTGTGATCTGATCTTCAGTATCGAGCGTAGGTACTATAGAAGAATCGCATTCTAAGTACATTTCGATCACCACTAACAATACTACTCCTTCTCCGGTTAGCCCTGAACAACAAGTAGTGTTCATCACGGGCTAACACCAGTAGGAGAAACATTAGGAATCTGGAGGTACTGAGCAGTTGTTTCGTCCTAATACGGGACTCCTCAGCAGTACGCACTTACAACTTAACTAGGGGTTGAACTCGTGAACGCTTCAACTATCTAGCCATTGAATGAGAATTCAAGTGGTCCATAGTTTCCTACTTCTGTCAGTTTGAAATATCTCAAGACTGTCTACCGAAGTTTTCAGGTGGCATCTGCTTCACTTCCAACTGCTTGAACTCACAGGTCACGACTTCTCAACAGAACTTTTGGAATATTCATCTAGTAGCATGTCAACAATCAACACTATACAGTAATCAATTTTAGTTTCGAGGTAGTATTCATCATGGACTGACATCAATGGGGAACCATTAAAGTGAAGTGGATGCCAACCGAAGATCGTCTGTAATAGTCATGCTATATCGCGAATCGACATAAATAGAAAACTGTAGACCATTAAATTTAAACTCAGTGGCTAAATGGTTAATACGTTTCCTGTAAATCTTGGGTTTGGTCCCTTGTGATGTAAGTGCATACTGCGTACTGAAGATTCCCATACTAGGGCAAAACAGTTGTCTACTACTCACAGGTTTTCAATGATTCTCCAAATCATATAAGTCCGTAACGAATATTACCTTCAAATATTAAAATAGTTTACAGCCATTATTTCTGATAAAATAATCGTCTGCAAACATCTTTGAATTGAAGATGGATTGGGCATACACTGAGAAGGCCGACTGGAGACATCATAAAGCAGGCCGTCGAGTGGAACTCAGATGGGAAGCGATGAGTTGGGCATCCCAGCTGAGGGTGACATGGAGGAAATCGTGTGAGGAAGAAATGAGAGCTTGTGGACTGTCGTGCAGCCAGGTTCAATAGATTTCAGAGGAGAGAGTGCAATGGAGACGTGCTAGTGAAGCCGTATGTTCCATTAGGAACCCAAGGGACAAATAATAATAATAATAATAATAATAATAATAATAATAATAATAATAATAATAATAATGACATCTTTGACTGTTTTCAATTTCTATTTGTTTCTTCTTCTTCTTTTGTTCTTTTTCAGCTCATTACTCAGGTATCATAGTAGTTTTCTAATGGATAAATTGACTGATATTGAATTTGCAAAAAGCAATGCTTGTAAATCAGCTGTAAATGATTGGCTTAAAGTAGATGTTGTATACATTCTACTTTTATGATATTTAGGATAATCAATGTATTGGTCTTGGAAGTGGAACAACAATTAAATATGCTGTAGAATATATTGGTAATTAAATAATATTACTAATGATAAACATTCTTATCTTAGCTGAAAAGGTTCATACAGAAAATTTACAAATCCAGTGTATACCAACTTCATTTCAAGTTAGTTAGTTATGCCTTTTTGTTATGGCTTTGCTTTAATTAATTTACTTTATTTGATTAGTATTGCATATTACATCATATATTGTTACATGATTAATGTGAGGTAATCGATAGAAAGTATCTTTTACTCTGAATTTTGTGTTCAATATCAAGATGTTATATATTATCTCGAGGGAATAGATACTAAAGTTGATATTCGTCATGGAATAGTATCAGTTGGATAACCATTGAAAACCTGAAGGCACTAGATAGCCATTTTGTTCTATTGTCGAACTCCTTAGCTACGTTTACACATCACCTCACCATGGATTAAACACAGGACTTTCAGATTTCGTGAAGATCAGGACAAATACTCAGCGATAGCAGTAGATGAAGGTTGCTCTATATCGCTAAATGACAAGATTAGGATAATATGGGTCAGTAGTAAAGTGTTCTCTGCGAAACCCGAAGATTCTGCGCTTCACTCCTGGAGAGGTACGGTCGTGGGTGCTCACCGCTGAGAAGTTCCGTACTCGAAGGAAGTAGCTGCCCAGTGCTGTCAGGTTTTTAATGTTTCTAAAATTCATTTCAGTCTGTGATGATTGTCAACTTGAAATCAATAAATCTCACAAAACCTGCAAATAGAACGGATATTCCTTGACACTTGTAATTTCCCGTTGCTATACAGAGTCGAATCGCTTGACATCTAATGACAGATGAGTTCCTATGCAGATGCGTAGATACTGGTGGATATCTGTGATGTTATACTCGTTTTGGTGCAAACTAGGATGTGCGTTTCATCGTATTTGAGGCTTGACAGGTGGATGTACCTACACTCTAATGAGTGAGGTTGTTCTTAGCGAGACTGGAACCCAGTGCCAGTCGCTTCAAACTCCAGAGTGTTATCCACTAAACTGAGGCACGATGGCCACCTCTTGTGCAACGAGTATCAGTTATTGTATGATATTCGTAATTACCGTTGCTATACAGAGCCGAATTGCTCGATCTCTGCTGCAAATATGCTCCTATCCGGATGCCTGGATACTGGCTGTCGTGCTTCAGTGACCTAGTGGATAACGCTTTGGTGTTTGAAACGATGTGCACTGGGTTCGAATCTCAGTGGAACCAAAATCACCCAATGAGGTGCAGTTGAAGAGTTCTAAAAAGGGCGAAAAAGCATCGTGGATTCTACTGCTAGTCAAGATGATGGATTAAACTGATAATACTCTGAATTAGAATTCTGAGATATGTATATAATATGTTACTAATTGCAACAAACTGTGAGAAGCAAGAAGAGGAGCATATACTGGCTGAACCGATGAAAAGACCCTAGAACATTTGGATTTCGCCGATGGTGATTTATGTCTAATGTGCTGTCGCACAAACTCGAAGATCTACAGGCGAAAACTAACAAGTTGACAGAAGAGACAGGGCAGCGAAGACGGGACTTCAAGTGAATGTAGAGAAGGTAGATGTAATGAAGATACCCGACCAACAACAACAACCACCAATTACCATTATTGGGAGAAACCTAAAGGAAGTTGTATCTTTCACCTACCTACCTACCTACTCAGAAAGCATCTTTTCAACTACAGGCGGCACAAGCGCAGATGAGGACGTCAAAGTTAGTATCGGAAAGACACCAAGACAGGCCTTCCTGCAACAATCTGAAATAATCAGTGTGGAGATCTACTCCACTCCACTCAGGATAAAACGTGAACAACATCCGAATTCTCATCACTAATGTCAGTCGTCAGTCAGTGCTTCTATGTGATGGTTGAGAGACTTGTCGCCTTACGAAAAGCATTTCCAACAAACTACAGACATATACCACATCAACAGCTGCCGCCACCGCTCGCTCGATACTGAAGATCAGATGGGCAGTATAGAATAATAAGAATAAGCAAGAAGGAACTCTGTCTGACTGCCTGTCAGCGAATCAATCAACCAGGAACCTATCGGTTAACAAATATGCAGTAGAAGAAAGTGAAGATGGATTGGGCATACACTGAGAGGACCGTTTGGAGACATCATGCGTCAGGCCCTCGAGTGGAACCTAGATGGGAAACAGCGAAGTGGGCGTCCCAGCTGAGGGTGACATGGAGGAGATGGTGTGATGAAGAAACGAAAGCTTATCGTCAGTTATGAAAGCACGTTGGAAAGACTGCAAGAGAGGCGACGTGCTACTACTGAAGCCCTATGTTCCACTAGGAACCCAAGGATATATAATAAAATAATAATAATAATAGTTGCTTTTAACCATTCAAGAAAGTAAGCTGGAATATAGATTTACTCAACTTGCTGTGACTATACTGGAAGCTTAACTGATAAAATTTAATTAGTACCAATTATCAGATGATATTGATTCAATTATTCTATAGTAATAAGCTATTTTCTTTCCTTTCTACAATAATTGTTGTTTGTAAAAATGGTGTATGGGAATGTCTACTATTTTCTGTCATGTAAAATTTACTTTGACAGAACAATATGAAGACGTAAATTGTCTGAACCGTGTAATGTACATTTGCGTAACACATTTCAAACTATCTGATCACATACATACACACACACACGTATTTGTCATAGATATTTATTTATATTAAAATTCATGAAGATAAACTGGGTGAGAAAATAAAAAGAGGTCAAGTAGGAAGATTGAATTACAAGGCTGAATAACTATGAAAATCAAATGTACGTATGGTGTCAAATATATTATATTATTATTATTATAAGTCCCTTGGGTTCCTAATGGAACATAGGGCTTCAGTAGCACGTCTCCAGTTAATTCTGTTCTCTGAAATCTTTTGAACCTGGCTCCACGACAGCCCAGAAGCTCTCATTTCCTCCTCACACGATCTCCTCCATGTCGCCCTCGGACGCCCAACTCGTCGCTTCCCATGGGGATTCCACTCGAGCAACTGGCCTGACGCGTGATGTCTCCAGCCGGCCCTCTCAGTGTATGCCTAATCCATCTCCACTTCCTTCCAGTGCATATTTGTTGAATGATAGGTTCTTGGTTGCTTGGTTCCCAGAGCTCTTTGTTGCTAATTCTTATTATTCTGGCCATCTGATCTTCAGTAACGAGCCAGCGTAAGCAGTTGTTGATGAATGTGTGTAGTTTATTGGAAATCCCTTTCGTAACGCGCCAAGTCTCTGAACCATACAGAAGCACTGAATTGGTGTTGAAAATCCGGATCTTGTTTTTTGCACTGAGTGCAGAAGATCTCCACACTGGTTTCAGGCTAATGAACGCCTGTCTTGCTTTTCCGATTCTGACTTTGACTTCCTCGTCTGTGGCGCCTGTAGTTGAAACAGGGCTTCCTAGATAGGTGAAGGAGGTTACTTTTAAGTTCCTCCCGTTGATGGTGATTGGAGTTTGTCGTTGGAGTTATTGGTGCGGTATCTTCATCACTTCTGTCTTCTCTATATTCACCTGAAGTCCCGTCTTCTCTGCCTCTTCTGCCAACTTTTTAGTTTTCGCCTGTAGGTGTCAAATACATAGGGTGGACTAACAGATCCATGCAAGTAAGGGCCTCGGAACATATTCCAAAGTGGCTTAGAAGCAAACTAAATCACCTGAAACCATAAATGTTGGTAGCAGATGTCCAAGTTCTTCGATTGCCAAACATATCGTTGAGATAGGTCACAAGATTGATATGGCTTACTTCCTTTTCACCTATTTACAAAACATGTTAGGGAGGGAACCTTAAATTTGTTGAAGCCTTAGCTATTAAAAAGTTGAAACCACCTTTGTGTGTTCATAAACAGTTTGTTGTCATATTAAATCTCTCCCTTGATAAATTCAACCTATTGATGTACTATTATTTTTCGCTCTATTGATTTTCATTGTTGTTCAGCCTTTAATTCAGACTTCCTACTTGACCTCTTTTTATTTTCTCACCCAGCTAATCTTCATGAATTTTTATATAAATAAATTTCGATAAGGCTATTAGAAGACGAAGATTATCTGACAAATGTGATGTATTTGCGCAATACATTTTGAACAATCTGATCCCCCACACACATTTACTTGTCTCACTCAACTCAATTTATATATGAAAATTAAAGGTCAAATATAGTAAATATGAAAAGTTTAAACCAATTAGTTCCCTTGATAAACTTCGACAAAACAATAAGAAGACGTAAATTGTCTGAACCGTGTAATGTATTTGCGCAACACATTTCGAACTATCTGATCACACACGTACTTGTCATAGGTATTTATATAAAAACTCATGAAGATAAGGGGTGAGAAAATAAAAAGGGGTCAGGTAGGAAGGCTGACTTAAAGGCCGAATAACAATGAAAATCAATAGGGCGAAAAAATAATAGTACATCGAACTTGGTTTTTCAATAGTTGAATTTACCAAGGAAGGTTTAATGTGACAACAAATTGTTTATGAATACATAAAGGTGGTTTAAACTTCCTAATAGCTAAGGCTTCAACAAATTTCAGGATCCCTCCCCAACATGTTTTGTAAATAGGTGTAAAGGAAGTAGCCACATCAATCTTGTGACCTGTCTCAACGATATGTTTAGCGATCGAAGAGCTTGGACGTTTGCTACCAACATTTATAGGTTCAGGTGATTTGATTTGCTTCTGAAGCCACTTTGGAATATGTTCCGAGGCCCTTACTTGCATGGATCTATTAGTCCTCCCTATGTATGTGTCACCACACGTACATTTGAATTGGTAGATACAATGGGATGTGACATTATCGTTCACATGCTGTGGGGGTTTGGGGGAATATAAGGGCTTCGTGGTTTCGATTACTCGAACCCTGGCTGCATAATAAGTCCTTCTAACAGCAGCGTTGAGTCTCTGCTTAAGGATTGCACTCTGAGAGTCACCTTTGTACGGAAGGCTGATGAAGACATCCTTCTTTGGGACTGACTGCAGTTCTAGTTTTGACGCTCTGCTGATTTTGTTCTGCCTGATAAATGTTGATGGATAGTTATTTTCCAACAAAATATCGGTCAGTGTTCCTCTTTCATCTTCTAAAGTATCCTCGGTGCATATT